CACTGACCCCTGTCTGGATCAGTGGGTGCAACCTGGAACAACACGATGTAAGCATACGTTCAGAGTTCCAATTGCAGACAACGGTGCACTTACGCTCCACCAACGAATCTCAAGAGCATATACGCCCCATTCCCGTTGGCCCCGGGAGCGAAGACAAACTGTTCCAACACCTCGCCAACCCCGCGGGTTGAAATCTCCTGAGTGAAGAAGTTCACATAGCTTGCATAGTATCTATCCCGATATTTCAGCTTTAATATGACTCAAGACGTCAGATCGTTCATTTCACCTCTCATCTCCAAAGAATTTCGTCCAGTTCTGGACGGTGATATTCTCGTTGACAGATTCCTTCTTCCCCTCCTTCCGTTCGAATACCTGAATGTTCGACTGATCCTCGACTTCGACGTCATAGATCTTCTGCAAGAGCGACGCTGAGGCACCCAGGTCGTATGCTGCTAACAAACTGACAGAAGCTCAGTACGAGAGTAAATCCACTAGTACCGCTAAGGTTGAACTCACTGGTGGCTGAGATGGTTGTGAAATCCAACCCTCCCGTGAAAGCAGTGATGCTCCTGTCGGTCTTCTTCCAAGAGCCGTTCCGCGGTGCTCTTAGTCTCGAATGTCGTCCCCGACAGGTTCAGTATGCCCTGGCGGATGCGAGAAGAAAGTTTTGGGCCACTACCAGACATGTTTGTGGAATTCGTGCTGTGGGAGACGGGCTGAGCGTACGATAGGGGAGACGAGTGGTTGAGGAAGGCTTACCAATGCTCTTATATATAGGTTCCAACCCTGGTCATGGGAGGCCCACAGAAGGTCTCACATAAGGCACCTGACAGATGCATAGCACGTCAGTCGCCAAAAGCATGGGTTTTGACACGCCCAGGTTATAGAAGTCGCAATACCACCTTGAGGAAAGTAGAGACCCACAGACGTCTCAAGAGCAACAACCAATCATACATATGAGCATTCAATCCTACAAGGCGCCATAGCAAGTCAAGCATCCTATAATTAATCCGCAGCCAGCGAATGTCATGATGAGGGCCCCTCCCCTCTGCTCCCAATCGCTTTGGGCATTTTCCTGTCACCACTTGCCAGTTGCTCGAGGTCAGCGGGTTTGAAGTAGTGCGGGGCGACTGAGAGAGCAAATACATTAGCCATCAGCGATCAACGGTCGAAAAGAGACACATGCACCTTCGAGCAACCACGCCGGCTTGATCTCCATGACCTGCCGCATGTATGACTTGGAGGTCATGACGAGCTCGTAGTACAGAACATTCTTGATGGGAGGCGTGTGATTGAACAGGCTAGAAGAAGGATGGACATAGACAGTCTGACTAGTCTTCAGTGTCCGATAAGAGTCGCCGCTCTTCTGCATTGTGGCCTGTAACATCGCGCATGTCAGTAAAGTACACGAGCATTAATGTGCAGACAGATGGCTCACGGTGTTGTAGAAGTATCCTGCAGTGATGGCTTTCTGGATCGGAGTGATGTCGTTCGTGTTCGGATTGCTTTGCACAACAATCTCCACGCGTTCACACAGGCCAGCGAGCTGGTCGCGAATATCACGCGCCCTGCTCAAGCTCTTGAATTGCAAGAACTGCTCGTAACAGAACTGCTGCGAGTAGTTCGTCTCCGCCCACTGTTCCCAGACGTTGAGCAGAGTGAAGTGGTCGCCGCCTGGGCGCACGAAGTTCTGTCGCGCTTGATCTGCGTGGAGCTTCTTGTCCTTTGGTCGGTAGAACAGAGACGACGACTCTTGCAATAAAGAGATGATTGTGAGGACCTGTCCAGGGCGGATTAGTGAGTGCACTATTGAGCTAGAGCAACCGTACGCACCTCATCAGTACACGAGTAGTTCTCGCTTGCGATGATCGCCTTTGACAACATGGGGTCGACGGGGAATTCAGCCATACGTCGACCGAGCTTCGTGAGCTCCCCTCGGTCGTTCAAAGCACCGAGAGCATACAAGAGCTCAAGAGCCCGCATGAGGGTCTCGCCTGGCGGAGGGTCCATGAATTCGAAGCCGATGAGGTCATTGATACCAAGCGACTTGAGCAGCAGGACGACCATGCCCAAGTTGGTGCGCTGGATCTCCGGAACGGTGTTCTCTTCCAGCTCGTTCGAGTATGCCCACTTCGTGTACAGGCGGAAAGCCTTGCCCGGGCCAACACGACCGGCCCTTCCAGCTCTCTGGTTGGCCGATGCGCGCGAACACTGCATTCTCATGATTAGCCAACCCTAGGGATGATCTGTGATATCGAGGCTTACCGGTACAACAACCAGCGATGACATGCCCGTACGCGGGTTGTACGAGTTCTGCTTGACGAACCCAGGGTCGATGACGAACACGACACCGTCGATGGTGATCGATGTCTCCGCGATGTTAGTGGCGAGCACGACTTTGCGCGCACCCTCAGGTGTCGGCTCGAAGATCTTTGCCTGCATGTCACTGGGAAGGTTGGCATAGATAGGACAGACGATGAGCTCCTTGATCTTGTTACCCAGTGCTCGAGCAGTCTCTTGGAGGTTCTCCTGTGCGGCTTCAATCTCGTCTTGACCCTAGAATGCGACATTGTCAACGCAATCGCATCATGTATGCGCTATGATGGAAACTCACAGTGAAGAAGACAAGGATATCTCCCTTCGGTTGCGTCGTGTGGATTTGGAAAATGGTCGTGATCGCAGCGTGGAGGTAGTTGGCTTCCGGCTGAGGGGTGTAGTGGATGTCTACAGGGTACCGACGACCGGGGACTACGCAACCAGTCAGTAAGGCAACATACACCTGATTGGTTCAAAATTTACCATAGAAGACAGGGGCGTCGTCGAAGTACTCGCTGAACTTCTCGGCGTCCATAGTGGCACTCGAGATCAACAACCGGAGTTCAGGCCTGAACCGCGCGATATCCTACAGGGGCATGTCAACGTCTGCTACGTGGAAGGAGTGAGGGATCAACACGCACCTTGACAAGAGCAAAGAGAATATCCGTACTGAGCGTGCGTTCATGCGCCTCGTCGATGATGAGCGCGGAGTATCCAGCCAGGTCGGGCTCGGTGAGGAACTCTCGAAGAAGCATGCCGTCGGTCATGTACTTGAGGACGGTCTTGTCGCTGGTACAGTCCTCGAATCGGATCGAGTACCCGACTTCATAGCCAACTTTAGTGCCCATCTCCTCCGCGACACGCGCGGCGACGGACATGGCGGCAACACGACGCGGTTGAGTACAGCCAACCTTCAGTCCATTGGCGGTGTAGCCGGCTTCGTGGAGGTACTGCGGGAGCTGCGTGGTCTTCCCAGAACCGGTTTCGGCGACGACGATGAGGACTTGGTGCTCCTTGATGGCTTCTAACAGCTGTTCACGGTACTGATATATCGGTAAGGACTTGCGAGTCTCGTCAATAGACTTGGCTGCGTGTATAGTCAGCGCTGCACCGTAGTTCTGGACATGATAGTGCTCACCTCTCTGTTCGGCCTCATCAATCTGTTGCTGCAACAGCTTGTCTGCCGCGCTCAGGTTGCCCTCTCCCCCAAGGGTCGACTCCATCACGAACTTAATGGTCTGGCTCTCATCGAAGACGTACTCGTAGTCTTCGACAAGCTCCGGCTTGTCCATCGCCCCAGTCTTGAACGTGCTGTGCTTGGTCTGCGCGGCCTCCCATTGGTCTACGTCTGTGGTGAACTGGTCGTCCTTGGGCTTGGCCTCTTCGTACCGCTTGTACAGGACGTTCTCTTTCTTCTTCTTGTCAATCTTACCCTGCTCGGTGAAGTAGTCCTCCGGTAGCTGGTACCCCTCCCACTTGTCGTTGATCTTGAGACGTTCTTCGACGAGTCGCAGTAACTCCTTCTTCCGCTCCAGCTCCCGCTTCTCGCGCTTCGTCAACTTCATGCCGCGGAACAGGGCCTCGTCGTCCGCAATTTCCCGCTTGAGCAGCTCGATCTGCTGCATCTCGCGCTTCGTGAGATACTCCTGCCGGGAGTGTTCTCGGAGATTGGGCATGGCTCGCGAACGGGCCTCCGTGTCGTCTGCTAGTCGTCGTCGCTCCGCCGCCTCCGCTGCTGCACCGCTGTTCTTCGACGACCGGTCCTCCACCACCTTCTTCGTCTTCTCCTTGTCCCGCTCCTTCACCCGCTCCGCAAACGCATCGCGCTCGCGCAAATCCTCCAACCGCTCCCTCTCCTTGCGTGTCTCTTCGTCCTCCGGTAGCTCCACGTTCATATCGTCGTCATCCTGCTCCCTCTTCCTCTCCTGTTCCCACCTCGACCCCTCGTAATCCTCTTGCCGCGGCCGCTTACGCGCCTTCTCCTCCTCATCGCTCTCCCACTCCCGCGTGTCACCCTCGCGTTTGCGCAGATGTCGCTCCTTCTTCTCCTTCTTTTCCTTCTTCCCCGCCGACCGCTTCGACCCGCCGACCTCTACGACGCCCGAGTCATCCTCGTCCAGCAGAAAGCCAAACTTTTGTGAATGGAGGGCCTTTGTTTCTTGCTCAGCTTGTTTCCGGGCCGAGTCGGACGCCTTCTTGTGCTTGCTCCTGCGTGGCGCGCGCGAGAAGACTTCCTGGGCAAACTGGTGTGCGTCAGGTGTGTCTGGGAGGCCCGAAGCGTTGAGTGAGGAGAACAGGGCTTCAGGAGACTTGGCGGAGGATGCTTGAGAGTCGAGGTGGTTAGCTGACTGAGAAGGGTCGGGGGCAGCGGTGCGGGCTTACCTGACGCTACGACATAGTCCACAATGCTACGGTCAGACAGGCCAAAGAACTGAAACGCTTTGTCAGAGCATAGTCAGCAATGATGCAGCCATGTCGCTCACCCGTAATGCATTGTCAGAGATGTAGCGTTCGAGATCAGACATGGAGGTAGCAGCGAGAGATTCCCAAGTCTGTTACGCACTCGTCTTGGCGCCCTCCAGTCAACGGGCGTCACGATTGCCTGTTCCGGTTTGGCGTCTATTGTGCACCCCGTCTTCCGCGGAAACGTGTATGTGAATTTTATTTGAGATACGTATCCATCCGCCATCGTGGCGCAATGGTAGCGCATCACCTTCCTATCTGTGGACTTAAGGTGGGGGTTGCGGGTTCGATCCCCGTCGTTGGTAACTGGCTATCGCTTTTTTTGGACCAGGTTCTACGCGACCAACAGGCAATTTGAGTAAATCTGAAGTTTTGAGCCCTCATGGAGGACTTGAAACATAATTGTTAGGATCGCCTTGAAAACACATTGTCAGAATACCTGATGGGAAAGGCAGTCGGCCGGCGAACCGGGCGGGTTCGAACCCCAGTGTTGGTAATTGGTTGAACTTTTTCCCCAGCACTTTTGACTTGTTCAGCCGCCGTACGCGTTCGATATCACATATATAGTCTGACCTCCGGCCTCCATGGACCCAGACTGTCTGAACACTAACTTTGAACGCTGAGGGCTCGTCCTTACGGAGGTAAGTAGGTCGCCGCTCCTACCCGTGTCAGCTCGTAGCATCGTACTAAGTACACTGCTTAGTAACCGCACTTCACCGAACACTCAGCAGGACTCGCTGTAGGTGCGCTCGCTCACGCAATTTCATACCACTTTAACGCATCATGTGCAGCTGCTTACATTGCCAGACTCGCCGTGTCGTCCCGCGCTAAATCCAGGGGATCATCACCTTCCGTCCATGCGATGCGCCAACGGCTTAATAACTCCATGATGCAATGACAACACCAACATCCAGGACAAGCGTTTGAGGACCTTCACCAGTGCTTAATCTCCATCGCTAGACCTTGACAGTACCGACGGTGTGTATATAAAGGGCACCCACTCAGGATGGCAGACCACAACCGCACCACAGCACCCGCCGAAGCAAGCTAGCAAAATGGCTGCACTTACCCAAGTGAAGACCGTCGTCGTCGACAACGGGATCGAAATCTTTTACCGCGAGGCGTACCCAGCGAACATCACAGGTGCCGCCGCCATTGCCGCCCTCCCTATCATCCTACTCCTGCACGGCTTCCCCTCCTCGTCGTTCCAGTACCGAAACCTCATCCCGATCCTCGCGCAGAAGTACAGGGTCATCGCGCCCGACTTCCCTGGCTACGGATTCACGGTTGTCCCCGAGACGCGCCACTACAACTATACCTTCGAGTCTCTCACCGCGACCACCGCTGCCTTCCTCGATGCGCTCCAGGTCAGAAAGTTTGCCGTCTACATATTCGATTATGGCGCTCCCACCGCATTCAGGTACGTACTAGATGTCGGACCGGTCGGTACCGTGGTTAACAGACTGCTCGACGAACTTAGGCTCGCCCTCCAACGACCCGAGGCCGTGACCGCCATCATCAGCCAGAGCGGGAACGCCTACGTCGAGGGACTCGGCCAGGACTTCTGGAGCCCCGTCGAGAAGGTCTGGGCGAACCCGACCCCAGAGAACAAGCAAAACCTCAAAGACTTCATTACCAGCTTCAACGCCACTCAGTGGCAGGTAAGCCTTGGGCCCTCTCTTCGCCTCTGCGCAGTACTGATGATAGATGTGCAGTACACAACCGGGGCACCCGACCCATCCGCCGTCCCGCCCGAGACGTACAACCTTGACTACTACCTGATGACGCGCCCGGGCAACGCCGACATCCAGCTCGCGTACATCGTGGACTACAAGACCAACGTCGACCTGTACCCCGACTTCCACAAGTACTTCCGCGAATACAAGCCGCCCCTGCTCGCGATCTGGGGGAAGAACGACCAAATCTTCGTGCCCGCGGGTGCGGAGGCCTACAAGAAGGACCTCCCGGATGCGGTCGTGAAGTTCGTTGACGCGGGTCATTTCGCTTTGTACGTGACTCCGCTTCATGGGATGACGGATCCACGATGGAGACTGACTTGATCGTGACTGGCTATACAGGGAGAACGGTGCCCTGGAATTTATCGGGAACAACATTCTGTCGTTCCTAGGCGAGCACGGGATTTGAAGGGAGGACGAACTAGAATCAGCCCATAATTGCAGCGATAAAGCAGTTCGAACAACGAACAATTCAGTGAGCAGTACCGCTACTCCAAACCATCTTGAATGCGTTTCCGTGTTGGAAATGTTTGGGGCCGTTGTGACGACTTACATACACAAAACATCGCGATAGGAGGTCTGCCTGCGCGTCTTCGAGCTTCAATATATTGGTATATGCGTGTATCTGTACGTGAAGCCATACAGCAGTAGTAAACGGAACAAATGGCAGAACGGCAAGAACATAGATGAACGTGGGAAAAGCTAGTACTATTACAGGACACAGACGACAAAACAACAGCGTAGATATTGAGAGGAATAGATGACGGAAAATGCAAGAAACGACTATGATACAGTGTGTACGGACGACCCTCTAGCTCTATATCAAAGCACGAGTGAGGGAATGAAACGAAAGCAACAGGCCAAGAAGATCCGATATGCGCAGGATAAGAGAGCAGGGAAAGGAAAAGAAAAGGACATATGTGCAGTAGAACCATATCAATCGTCCGTCGAGCGGCCGTCGTGGGACGTGCGCACTCAAATTATATAGAGCATGAGCGCATCGTACCACCTGCAGGAAAGCCTCCAAGAGCACGTTCAGCATCTCTTCGCGCAAACATGCCTCTTTCCATCGCTCTTCTGCAAGCGACATGCACGCGAGCACCACATCTCCCCGCACTTCGGGCACGTTGGGAAGTTCGAGCCCCGCTTCCCGCACGTTGCGCACGCAGTCTGCACGCGGAACATCGAGCAGCGCTCCAAATCCTCAAGTACGGGGTGCAGCGTCAAGTAATCGCCCGGCTTTCTGATTGTACCCGCTTCCACCCCGCCTGAGAGCGGCAGAGCCGGGACAGTGTGCACCGGGGTCGGGGGCCCGGCAGACGAGGCCGCGGTTGAAGTGGCGAGCGTAAAGTAGTCAGAACCGGTATAGGACGAAGGTGTGCGGCAGATCGAAGGGAGAGTGGGCGAGGTGGGTGTGTCGATGGGGGCACTCGCCGGCGCACGTGCGCGGGCTAGGGGGCTCTCAGATTGGTGCCGGGGCCGGCTCAAACTGCGAGCAGCGGTGGCGAACCGCGAAGGGAGCGGAGAGGGTTGTGGGGGCAACGCACCGATAGAAGCAAAGGAATCGGAGGAGCCTGCGCCAAGCCCTGAGAGCAGACTCTGGAGGCGCGGACGCGGGCTGCCTGTCGGGGCGAAGGAGCCGACTAGGTCTGGGTCGTGCGCGGCGGTGCGGGGCTGTGCCGGGGCTCGGTGGTGGGTCAGAAGGGAAGCAAGCATTGAGGGGAGACGAGGGCGCGTGCCTATGGTGGCAGAAGAGGCCGCGCGAGCTCGGCGGGTGGCACGGTCGAGGCTGGGACTCGCATTCTCGATGTGTTCTGTCGTCGACTTGGCTCGACTATGGCCACGAGATAGAGTAGGACTGGTGCTGGAGGGGAAGGGGTGGGCGAGGGTTGCGCTGGGAGCGTTGTTGGAGGGTCGGGAGAGCTCCCGTATTGCGTCCGGTGCGTCAACGGGATCTGCGCGCGAGGTAGATGCGGCGGAGGACAACATAGCGTCAGGGCTGCGTACGTCTGACCGGGAGCTCTCTGTGGTGAGGATACGAAGAGTGGGATGTTTGTGGGTGCGGTCGGAGGATGTGCTCGGCTGGGATGTGGACATGGGCGCGGTTAGATATGTATGCTGGAGCGGAGAGGTGGTGCGATAAGACCTACCCATTGATAGCGGCTGGCCTGCTCAAAAGCAGGCAAAGGTTCAACGCGGGGACGGCAGACTAGGGTGGACATGGCTGGGCGGGAGAGAGGGCGCGGTGGATGGCAGCTCTCGGGCAATTTATGTATGCATGGCGGACGAGAACATACCGCGCACCGTCACACGACCACAAATCTCCAGTGGGCGCCTCCTATCTGATTCTCCGTAACGACACTGACACTGGACGACTATCCGTAAGGCATCTGGACACGGATCTGCCAGATGTCGGAGTTTGAATCTGAGTGACTCGCGCCCGACAAGCTCCGTTTCCAGACCGTAACGCTGTTTCGAGCTGAGTTTTGCCACGATCGCGAGCACATATGCACCTGTCCTCCATAGGGAATATCATGTTGCCTTGTCATACAACACTCACAGTCTGAGTGCTGTGAGGTCTCAAAGCTATGTGATGAGAGTGCAGTGAACGTTGTTGAGGGAGAAACAGGAGAGAAACAGTGCACGACGTTGGAGGCCGTGACCGCGACGAGATCGCCGATCTCACGACGTGCTCCCGGAATGGAAGGTACGTGGGCGCTTCCAGTCTGGAACTCCAGTTTGGAGTCTGGCGGGGGGGTCGGACCCCCTCGCCAGATTTTCCAGTTCTGACCTCGCTTAGCCTTGGATGAACGTTTAACCGATATCTGGAAAATGGTCGGAGATTCAAAATGTCACGCTGGATCTCCGCATCTCCCCGTTTTAGAGTTTGGAACCTCCAGACCTGTATCCAAACGCCTTACGGATAGTCGTCCACTGACAAGCGTCTGCTCGCTGTCTGTGCCTAGGCCGCTTCTACCGCGATCCTCAACGTGTTCCTCCCCTCCAGAGTCTATTTCTCGGCAAAACAGATAGCAGCGACCCTCGAAAAACAGACGCATTCCTCGCTGCTCTCGACCAGTCCAAGAATCTTCTGGCGTCTGCGACTGGACAAAGTCTGGTGCAGCTCCATAGCCACCAACACTTCCTGAGCCTCTCCCTATCTATTCAACTCTTCGGTACGTAAAGCACGTCACAAGAATGTGTCTTCTACCCAATGAACGGAGATTGTTAGGCTGTCATCGTATACCAGCGCCCGCGCCATCGGGCACACGACCAGAGTTCTGGGAAGCATAGACACCATGAGAACACCACCGGGCGCCACGCAGCAAGAGGCCGCTCCAGGATAAGCACAATAAACAAACCACCCCGTAGCGAACGGCGGGCAACGGCGCACTCAATGGATGGATGGCGAACACACCTCGATGCCGGCTGCCGCCTCCTTCTCTTGAGTAAAGAACGCAGGAACCACCGGGTATGCAGGACCTAGACGGATGCTTCATACCCTGCTATGGCCGGGTCAAGTGAACGGACCATACATAACAGGTGAGTAGCAGCCACCGCAGAAGCGT